TTGTACTCGTGAAGTATTTAAAAAATAAAATATTAGAAATAAATTTAAACCATTAATTATGAGCTTTAATGTTGAATTTTTTTCATAGTGTCGCATGGACAACTAATTGGTAAGTGATCTAAAAGAGAATGATGTTTTGTTGTAGCTAAGTCTCATTGTAGTGAACCAAAACGAAATTGTTTTAAGCCTTTTTTTTTTGTTTAAAACAGTTGTCATTTTCTAAAAGAAATTATTTTTGTTCAATTTTTCTGGTTTTTTGCACTTTAGTCCTTTAATTTATAACATTCAAAATGATCACTTAATTAAATATGTATTTTAGATGAGTTCCCGTATTTTTATGAGTAGGTTGTGCTTCCAACTCAACTATATGGGCTCGGTTGTCTCCAAGCCATACCGATGGGCTTGATGTTAGCCTAGCCTAGCCCTTTTTTCCTTTCTTTTTTATACTTTTTCATTATTTATTATTTACTCAAAATAATTTTTTATTCTTTATTTTTTTATTATTTATTATTTAATCAAAATAATTTTTTCTATAATTAATGGTTCTTTTTTTTTTATAGACTCATTAACTAAAATTAAACACTCTTATAATATAAATTAATTTTTTTAAAAAATAAATAATTAATCATAAGTTTTTTTTTATCAAAATAAAAAAATATTTCTATGATATATTGAAACTCAATTATCCAATATATATATATTGAGTAATACATCACTATTAGAGTTGATTAATTTTTATTTTATTCTTATATTTTTATTATTTAAAATAATAAAATATTTATAGACTTATCTACAACATTAGTTCGTTGTAGTGAATTCAATGATTTTGAATGCTAAATTACCTAATAATTTATGAAGTGAAGCATTGTTAATCGCATGTCATGTGTATAATAGAATACTTCTTAAGAAATTTAAAATATCTCATGTGAATTTTGAAAAGAAAGAAAATCAAATCTAAGTTATCTTAGAGTTTGAGGTTGTCTAGTCTTTTATAGAGTTACATATCCTAAACGAACCAAATCATGGCCAAGAGCTTTAAAAAGTGTGTTTGTATGATATGCCCAAACATTCCAAGGCATATAAATTATTGATTTTAGAATCAAATATGATAGTAAAATGAAGGGATGTTAAATTTATTGAACAAAAATTCATAAATAATTCCAATACCGACCACAAAAATACGTAAAACAAACCGATTCAAGTTCATCATTTAGTGGTCAAAGAAAATCTCTTGATAGTCCTAATGACTCTAAAAGAAGTCAAAGGACAAAAAAATAAAAGAACTTGGATTCATGTTTTATTAATTCGCAGATCAATTGTCTTCTTAGTTGAAGACGATAGAAAATTTGTACTTAATAAAATATCCATTTTGTTAAACATAGAAGAATATCTTAGAACCCATAGAAAAGATGTAGCATTATGAAAGGAGGCAATAATGATGAAATGCATTTAATATTATCTAATAATATTTGAGTGTTTGTGGATTTGCCTTCTAGTTTAAAGTCTCTAGGTTGTAAATGGGTAATTCTTAAAAAGTACAATATCGAAGGATCCGTACAAACATTTACGGCTAGATTAGTGGTAAAATGATTTAGGTAAAAGGAAGGTATTGACTATTTTGACATGTTTGCACCGAATGGCTAGGATAACATCTATCGAGTACTATTTGCTCTAGTTTCTATTCGTAATCTAGATGTGCAACAAATGGATGCTAAAAAGACCTTTTTGAATGATGACTTAGATGAAAAAGTATATGGAAGAATCCAAAGGGTTCATAGTGCTTGGAAACGAAAATAAATTTTACAAGTTGGTTAAATCATTACATGGTCTAAAACAAGCACTAAAAAAAATGGCATAACAATTTGATTCCGTTATATTGCCTCATGAATTTACGCATAATAATGTAGATAAATGTATTTATTCTAAATTTATAAAAGAATATGGTGTCATTATATGCTTATACATTGAAGATATGCTTATATTTAGGACAAGCATTGATGGTTTGAATGAAACAACAAATTAGTTATCCTCATAATTTAAGACAAAAGATCTAAGAGAGGTAGATACTATTTTAAAAATCAAAGTTAAGAAAAATAATGGGGTTTTGTGTCAATACCATTTCGCTGAGAAAATCATAAATAAGAATCAACATTTGGGAATTAAAGAGGTAAGCACTCCATATGAAAGTTGAAACAAGTTAATAGGAAATTCTAAAAGTGCAATTGCTCAAATTGAGTATGCTAGTGTAATTGATAGCTTAAGACATTTCCTTTACGGCTTTTAAGCTTGCAAGATACAATAATAATCCTTGCGTTGATCATTGGAAAGTAATTTACAGAGTCCATGGATATCTTAAAAGAATTTTGAGTTTAAGACTGCTTTACGAGGGTTATCCATCAATATTGGAGAGATATACTGATGATAGTTAGATAACAAGTGTTAGTATTAACAAGTCTATAACTCGGTTGGGTATTTACCTTTGGTGGAGGAGCTATTTCACATGTTTCTAAAGAGCGGATGTGTATAACTCATTCTACTATAGAATTTGAGTTTGTTGCACCGGCGACCATAGGAAAAGAGGTAGAATGGTCGAAGAATTTATTGCTAGAAATAGAGTTATGACCATAACCGATGCTAGCCATTTCTTTACACTACGATAGCAAAGCTACAATGTCTAAGGTTTTTAGCAAGGCATGTAATGAGAAATCTAGACATATAAGCTTGAGACATGAATATGTCAAATAATTAATTCTTGATGAAATAATCATAATCTCATATGCAAGAACAACTAACAACTTGGCATATTTGTTTACAAAAGGGCTTACTAAATATTTAGTAAGAAAAACTTCAATTGGAATGGGTTTAAGATACTTCTCCTAGAGTCACTAGTAACATAAACCCAACTTTTCTCTCGGTATTATCACTATTTAAAAGTTCAATGGGTAAAAAATAAGTTACTAATAAGTGATTGTAAAGTACTAGGATATTTTATTTATATTTTTATTTTAAGTTATACGAGTATTAATAAATTTTGAAGGATGAGTTATAAACTTTTAATGAGATTTAAATTATGGGATATGACCAATATATTTGAAACTTAATAGGAACCTCACCTATACAAACATAAAACGTGGTGCCACTAGTAGCAAAAGTTCAAGAGTTGACTTTTGAAAATATTTATGAAAATTTAGGATGTAGCACATGGCCACATAAGTACTTCAAGAATTTTAGAGAGTTTCTAAAAAGAGTTGGATTAGGTCATGTGTGTGACATTTTCGATTTTAATACAAGAGATAATAGTTCAATCGCTTACGAAACAATTTATTCCATTAAAAATTTAAGATATTTACACTAAAAGAATATTCAAGTTGAGAGACATATTCCTTTATGTGTGATACTACAAGCACTTAACATTATTATCTAAACCGGGAATTATTGAAAATCTCGATTTTGATAAATAATAAGTTAAGTGTGGTAAAGAGAGTTTTAAAGTTTGTTTGCAAGTGAAACGTTAATCCTACATTGGAAAAGAATGAAAAAAAAAAAAAACACTTCATAAAATAGACCTCTTGAAAGGTTTCAAATATGGGTAGGATTGAGAAGGAAACTAAGTGTGTATATATATAACTATCGTAGACTAACCCTTAGCACGTGCGGACTTATGATTAAGAAATTTTAGATTTATTTTATTTTAAATTTAATTTAATTCATAATTATATTAATTTGCTATGTTTTTAATTATTATTTTTCTATGATAATCATTTTTTAAGTTTTAAATAAATATGATTATTGAATTATCACCGATAGAATTTAAGAGTTAGTTATTTAATTTTTCAATAGTCACGTTTGTTATGAAAGGGTTCGAGTAAACTATAAATAAAGGAATACCGCAAAAGGAAGGTCATACTTTATTATTTTTTCTACAATTCTCCTCTCAAAATTTTCTCCTTTTAAACTTCTATAACTTCAAGATAAATTCTTTAAAAGAAATTCCAAGAGCGTCATCTGTAATTCTTTAGGTGGAAAAATTGAATCATAAAGATGAATTGATAAAATTCATGTAGTACTATAGCAGAGATAATAATCATTTTAAAGATAACACATGAGATTTTTACTCGCAATTAAACACTATAGTTTCTGTTTTTATCATCAATTCTGCAATTCTTATTAATCGTCAGCTACTTGCACAGCATGTGCATCTCCCATACAAATCTTCTCTGGGCTAGTATTTTCAGTGCACGTCTACGTCTTTCATCCTCGGCCTGGATCCAGAGCAGCCCTCCTTTTGGACGGTCGACTTACTGGCATGGACCCGGTCTATTTAATAAGTATCACTGGGCCTAAAACTTCAAATGCAGCAAATTCCTTCTTCAAGATCACCAATTGCTTCGTCACCTTGCCTCCCTCGATGACAATCAACAAATACAACCCATCGAAGCAATTACCATCATTTGATAGCTATCCGTTCGAAGGGCAACAATAATGGCCCATGCATCACGAGCCTCCGCACTCCACGACAGTTCATCATCATCCATCAAACAACACCATCCGTCTATACCCAACCAAAAGGTGGAAAAAGAAGAAAAGGAAACTCCTAATGACATCTTTCATCATTATTTTGAATGTCTCATTGATAATAAATGTCACGCGACTACTTTTTTTATACTCAGTATAAGGTGAGTTTAGATCTAGAATGTTGCATGATATTAATATCCAATTAAATTATATTATATTGTTATTATTTATTTTTTATGATCTAAATGGATATTCATATTGTATCGATATTTAAAATATAAATATTATAAAAACCTTTTAATTTAAAGTTAAAGATATATTTTCACTAAAAAATAGATGTAAAATCTATAATAAACATGAATTCGTAGTAATTTTTAATACGCGTATATTGTGAATGCAATGCAAGAAGTTTGAGTTAGCCTACCTTTTTAGCATGAAAAAAGAAAGCTATGAGTTATACAGAAAGAAGAGGTCGCATAATCAACATGGGGCAAGGTTTTGGTGACAATGGGCTTGAGTTTGGAAGAGGCCCAAAACTCCAACAACCAGCTTCCCAAATTTGCAGTTCAAATGGGCACAATAATTCAATCTTCAAGAAACCAGTCAGGGGCAGCAGTACAAGAAATGGCATCCTCTGGGAATCAGAAAATCTACTGAAGTTTTTCCGCCAATCTGAATTTCTTCACAGGTTTGTTCAAGAGAACACCCACACCCCCCACCCCCCTCTCTCTTTTTCTCATAAAAACATTAACTTGGTCTTCTTCTTTTTACGCCAAAGTTTGCCTATGGCCACTTATGCTATCAACATTCTCCCATTTTCCTCTCCAACTTGCCCACTACACATTGAACACACAAAAACCAGCAACTTTCACTTTCTGGGCAACCCATTATGTCAAAAACCCGGGACTTTAACTTCTTGTAAGTCCCAAATTCAGCCTGTATTAGCTGCTATCAATGTAGAAGAGAAAGTGGAAGGAGAAGTAGGAAAAGAGAAACCCAAGTTTAGGTGGGTTGAGATAGGTCCTGATATACCAGAAGAACAAAAACATGCCATATCTCAACTGCCATTTAATATGACCGGAAGATGTAAAGCACTTATGAGACAGATAATTTGTTTCAATGACAAGAAAGGTAGTTTGTCCGGTTTGTTGAGTGCTTGGGTTAAGATTATGAAGCCAAGGAGAAAAGATTGGCTTTCTGTTCTTAAGGAATTGAACAAGATGGAACATCCACTGTATCTTGAGGTATTCTCTCTTTTCCATTTAAATTGAATGCCTTTATTATCTTTTGCCTTATTTTGCTTTGTCCATTGATTGCTATTTAAGTTTGATTGGAAGATGTATAGTGAGAGTTTGGAATGAAGTCTTAAACATGAATGACGAGTGTTACTTTCAATCCTAATTTTTGTTGTCTGCCAAAGTTAAGTATTCTATGATGAACTTTATGTACATACTTAGGTGGGTTTCATTTGTTGTTTCTATACTGGAACTTTGTTGCTGAGTGGTAAGTAAATTTTGAATTTGTTGAAATAGTCCTGCTTGTTTTTGAGTTTGTTGTCGTTGGAATATATGTTTTCATTACTTCATCTAATTAAATCAGTTGGTCGACTATGCACTAGTTGGGGTAATTCGGTGATTAGAGATCTTCGTTTGTGCTATGTTTGGTTATTTCTTTCTGTAGATGAATGGCTTGTCAGAATTGAATACTATACATACAGCTTTAGCCAACCTCTTTGCAGTCCATGGAGCAATAAATTATCTGTATATTTCCTGTTTTGTTTCATAATCAATCAGTGTTCAACTTTATGTTTGGCTTGTTCATGATATTTGTTTCTGTGGTATGCTCACACTCAAACAAACATGAATACGTGGAGAATTTATATATTGAATGTAGCACAATCCGCAAAACAATTTCAGTTCTTATTCTATGGCTAGTTTTTTTTTGGATTTCCTAAATGGAAAATGAGTGCTGTTAAGTGGTTTTTTAAGGTAAACATATCAGTCTAATATTGTCATTTTGTTTGGGAATCGATCCACTAGATAAAGAGCCTTCCTTTGAGTATATTTCAATTTCATTTAAGAAATGCCCCGATTATCGACAGCTGTGAAAGATGCAAGCAAGGGCACCTGGCTTCTTGTGAAGTGCTCCACATATGGTATAAGTTCTCTTATTGCTGATAGGTTCAATCGATGGGTTGCTTTGCCCACTTTCCTTCTACTGAGAGGTCATCTTTACTTGTCATCAAAAGAAAACGTGAAGAGGACCACTTTATGTCAACTCTTTTCCTTCTCTCCTGTTTGCTTGATCTCATCACAGTTTCTGATGTTTTATCCTTTAAAATTCCTGTTCGTTCATTTTGTTGAAGTTCTTTTCTTTTCCCTGTTATTATCATTTAATCCCACAGCTTTCATTAGTTGTATTCATCATTCTCATAGTTTCTGATATTTTATTTGTTAAAATCCCGATGGTAGATTCATGCTCATATTCACTTTGAGAAGAAACATTCCAGTAGCTGTTAATAAACTCAGCATATGGTTATTTTTTAACTGTTGATGACCGCTTCTTCCTCCCTACCGGGTATATATAAGACCACTTCACAACCATATGCAGTAGTGATAAAAATTCAACTGAAATAACAAAATTTATTCCCCATCCTCTTCAGCAGTGATGAGGAAATCATCAGCAAGTAGCCCTAGTAATGAGCAAATGAAGATATTTTAAAAAGGAATTACTCACCAAAGGCATTTAGCTGTCTTCTCCCTCCAAAAGATTACATGAAATAGCCCTTTCCTTATCAGAAAAGCCACAAGAGCCAATTGGGCTAAGTTTTAGTGAGGCTTGAACAAGTGAGATGGATTTTTCTTGAATGCTAGTAGTTTTGATAAGCACATATTCTTTTGATGAGGTGTATAAATACTATGTGAATTAAATGATTCTTGTGCTTATCATAGTTGGAGTGCATTTGACATACAAAACCTTTTCTATTTTTGAATACTAGTTCTTGTTCTGTGTGCAGGTGGAATTTCTAAACTCGCAATGTGATATAAGTTCATGGTCTTTTGCATCTTTATCAGGTGGCAGAAATTGCCCTTCTAGAAGAATCTTTTGAGGCTAATGTTCGTGACTATACCAAAATAATCCATTTTTTTGGGAAGAACAACCAGCTTGAAGAAGCTGAAAGAACTCGCTTAGCCATGGAGGAGAAAGGGTTTGTAAGTGATCAGGTAACGCTAACTGCTATGATTCACATGTACAGCAAAGCTGGCAATCTTACGCTTGCTGAAGAAACTTTTGAAGAGCTGAAACTGCTTGGTCAACCATTAGACAGGAGATCATATGGTTCGATTATCATGGCCTATATCAGAGCTGGAATGCCTGAAAAGGGGGAGATGATACTTAGAGAAATGGACACTCAAGATATCCGTGCTGGAAGTGAAGTTTACAAGGCATTGTTAAGAGCGTATTCCATTATTGGTGATGCTGATGGAGCTCAAAGAGCGTTTGATGCAATTCAACTTGCAGGTATACCTCCTGATGATAGAATGTGTGCAGTCCTCATAAATGCTTATGCAATGGCAGGTCAAAGTCAAAATGCACACACTGCATTCGAAAATATGTGGAGGGCTGGCATTGAACCTAGTGATAGATGTGTAGCTCTGGTGTTGGCTGCATATGAAAAGGAAAACAAGCTCAACCGGGCATTGGACTTTCTAATGAGATTGGAGGGAGAGGGAATCATCATTGGCAAAGAAGCATCAGAAGTACTAGCTGGATGGTTTGGAAGACTTGGGGTCGTGAAAGAGGTGGAGCTTGTATTGAGAGAATATGCCGTGGGATAAGTCAATTGCGAAATTCTCACTTTCTGATTTGTCCCCAAATCTTGCTGCATCCATGGAAAATTTCTGCTTTCCAGTATATATGCTCATGATTGCCAGGAAGTTAAACTGTTGGTGGTAAGATATAGAGGTTTGCCATTTTTTGGATATAGATTCGGATTCTTCCTAGCTAGTTAATAGTCCGCCACTGCCCCTAGTTTCTTTTGAATTGTATGTTAAGCCAATATGAAGTTAAAGCTAGCTGTGCACCATTGTTCGAAGAAATTGAACAACAATATAACATGCCTGTTGAGTCAAAATGTCGATAGGTTATTCTGCAATTTTTTTTAATTCTAAAATTTACCTTCGATTGTGCTAGTGCAAGATGTATAAGCCAAGATATTGTAGGTTCTTGATTTTCAAGCGCTTTCGGCTTCGTTTCTGGCCGCTGGCCAGTCAATCCATCTCTAGGATGGCTATCTTCTCAAGTTTGGGCCAGGCCTTCGGTGTGAGACTATTTTGGGCCCAATTGGGTAGTCCGCTTGTGAATAAAGTTAAAACAAATTTTTTTTTCCGAATTCATACTTCCGATTTATCTGGATGACATATTCTAACATTAAGTTTTATAATAAGATATGATAATATGTAACTTAGGAATATATGGTAGAGACAATTAAACAAGTAGAGATATATTGTAGCCTAATCTCTAAAATATAAGTGCAGATCAAACAACTTCCAAAAAAAAACAAAAAATCACAAAATGTCTTGTGCATTGCTATCCACGGAGAAGATTTTGGCTAAGGGACAGAGCAACTTGTTTTCCACTGTAAGCAATTTTATAGTTGCAGTGCCGTAAATTCGGAACTATTCTTTACTACCATAAAAAGGAATATATTAGGCAACTTTGCCAATGAGGCTCTCCATTTGTGTTGGTTCAAGCCCAGGTTTCTCCTCTTTCCAGTTTATAGATATTAAGGTAATTTCATGAACCCAAAAGAGGCCCATGGCCATGGGAATTGACTATTGAGACTATTCATAGAAAATTGTGGGTGTGTGTTGTAAGTCCAATCCATGAATAATTTTGACATGACTCGTTAAAAAATTAAATAAGAAAGTGATTACAATGAAAAAAAAAAACTAAAGGTGATTGTGTGTGTTAAGCGTGGTGGTGAATAAAAAAAAAAAAAAAGTCTTTTGTGTAGGGTTGTTGTTGAGAGAGACAGTATTAATGTGAACAAAAAATGGTTTTTTTATTAAAAAAAAGGTAAGAATTTTTATACGCTACATATTGATTTTTTTTTAGAATTGATTTTTATATACTAAAATAATAGAGGATTCAAAATAGTGATATCACACACAATATTGAATTTCTATAAATACAAATATTTTGTAGATTTTAGATTTTCATTTTGAGATGGGCTTAGATAGGCAAATAACTTGTATTATTATCAATTTTTTTTTTTTTTAAGTTTATGGATAATTTTGAATGATTGTATTATTTTTAATTATAATAGATTATTTCATAATTGATTCCATAGTTTTTTTTCTCGACGACAGAGAAGTTTTTTTTTGCATAAATTTAGTGTTATTATAGTTGTGTTTTTGTAATTGATTTATTTTATATTTTAAATTATTTTACACGTTTAGCTTGATTATTTTCTTAATAAAATCTAATTTATATGGAATGAAATTTAATTTCCAACAAAAATGCATATTATAGTCGTCGTTATTATTACCTAAATGTAGAATATGCCACCGTGAAACTAAATATGTTACCAATATTTTTCTTCTCTCGCTTTTCCTTCTTCAATTGGAAAGTTTATTGGGTACTTGACTCTCCCATAGTTCATGTAGCACTTCCTTTTGTTCTTCTTTTTTTTAATGGATTGTAACTAGATTTCATAATAATTAAGAAGGCATTAATTTGATCCTTTTCGCACCAATGCCGGATGTGAAAATTAAATTCAAATTGCTTAATTTAACATCCAATTATCAGTTAAAGTTGTTTATACATGCTTGCATCAGAATGTTTTCCTAAAATGATAAAATAATGGCATAATGCATCCATCAACTCTTATGTATTCGATGTATTCTCTTTTCAATCAATTTTTATTTTTATATATTTTTTTATATTCATATTTTCTTTCTTTATATAAATATACACGCACGCTCTTTTTCTCTCTTTGGATAAAAATGCTTCCTTAGACCAAAAAAAAATAATAATAATAAAAATTCAGAACATTAAAAAATAAAATTTTAATTTTTCAAAAACTTTTTTAAAAAAAGTAGGTATTTTTTAGGTGTATTTTTTAGACATACTTCTATTTAAGAGGTTTTAAAGATATCCTTTTTTTTTCCCTTAACTTTTTAGATTTTACAAGTTAGGTGTATTTTTTAGGGTTTTCCTTTTTTTTTTTTTAATATTTATCCATATTTCTTAAAAATAATTATGTTTTATGGTTTTTTTTTTTTTTTTTGAGTTTTTCAAGTTTATTTTCGGTGGTTGTTGCCCATTTCCATTAAAAAATAACAAAAAGACATGGGAGAAAAGATATGAACGTATAAAAGCACATTGCAATTAAGTGAAAAATTCATAAAAAAATTATATGAGAATACTCCTGAAATATAAAGATAGATTTACTATCGCAAAAATAATTTCCCATCAAATCATGCATCCATCCATCACGTATCCTAATTAAGGTACAACTATAAAATATATACAGTAGCTTAAAATTAACTTCCATACCAAAGACGGAAGAAATACCATGTAGTTTGATAAGAATTGGGTGCCCAGCTAGACTTCATCGAAGGCATTAAGAAAGTTTGTTTTCAGTCACTACCAATGACATAACAAAAAAATTGGAAAAAATTGATATTTATTCTTTCAAATAACTTGGAACACTACCCGGGAATCGGGATACATACCAGCTGCAAATAGAATAAGAATTTTAATTTTTAACTCGTACGTCCCAATCTGAAAATTTTCACTAGTAAAAAGAATAAACAAAAAAAAGAGAAAAGAGCACGGAGAAATATTGATCAATTATCAAACTAATAAATCATGCATGGCCAGTGAAATAACATGGAAATCAAGCTCCCTGGTTGTTATTTCATTAATACAAGTACTTTGTTAATATGCGGTCAGTCTCTTTTAGAGATAGATGATGATGCTAATACGTCACTACATGGCATGGACCCTGGTGGTGGAGATCCTCGTCTATGGAGGAGTTCACGCGCCAATGATTGTAGATCACCACCACTAGTTCCTGATGAGCCGCCACTGCCTCCAAACTGACGGGGATCCATTTGCCGCTGCTGCATGGACCATGAGGGTTGCACCATTGGATCAAAAAGAGATGATAAATCGTACGCGGCAGGAATTGAAGAAGCTGATGGGAGGTCGGCTATTGAGAGTGGAGGCGGTGTCGCTAGTGTTGGTGGTGGTGGAGGAGGTGGCGATGGAACCTCCAATGCTGCTAGATGGGCTTGCAAGTATGAGAGTTCTGCTTGTAGATTTACCACCTGTACAAGAAACAAAATTTGCCAAAAGATAACGAAGACAATTAATTAATTGGTTAGCTGACTAAATCTTTATTAACACTCCGTTCTTTAAGGAAAAAAAAGAAAAAGAAATTTATGAAGAAGGACATCAGAAATTACTTTCGTTCACTCACAATAATACACTAATAAATGCAAATCAGAATTGAATAATTGTGTCATTCACAACTGTCCAAAACTTATCCTCATGACATTGTGTAACTGTGTCATTATTGTAGCGTCCATAATTGAACACAAGTTTGAGTGTTTTCTACCGAAAGTTTACGAAGGCAAGTTAAAATAAACTTCTAAAAAGAAAACAATTTAAGACACAAGTAGGCTTAGTATAGCGATTATGTACTAATTAACTTTTTTAGTGAAACAAAATTCAAGTCTTAATTTCAGTTTCTCCAATAATTATATAATGGGAAGAACTATTCCTATTGTATGTAGCTCAATAGGTCCATTGGACCTCCAATAAATAAAAAAACAGAGAGCGAAAAGAAGAAGACAACAATTCATGTCAATCAAGTAATAGCGTTATTCATGGAACTATTTTTCTTTAAGAAATATATATGGAACTACTTAAATTGATTAATTAATTATGACGACGACTGATAAAACATAAACATACTTTCTTCTTCTTCTTCTTTTATGAATAGAACTATTTAAATTGATTAATTAATGATGATGACGACTTATGAAGATAAACATCGGACACAAGTTTGAGGCTTCTTGTCTTTGTTTATACTAAACGGATGCTTGAACTGTGTGCATTAGAACATGGTGTTGCGAGCAAATAAAGATTTCTTTTGACAGAGGAATAGAAGAAGCATAGTGTGATTAAACACAGATTTCTTCTGCATTATTGACATTGAAACAAGAGGAGAGGCTGGTTGTTGAACTTGGATCTAACCAATAATTATTTTTAAATTATATATATATATATATATATATATAGACACACATATATTTATGTATGTATAAACACTAGATAGTTAATTTATATAAGCTCAAATAGCCACTGGCACGTTTCAATTAATTATGATAACATGAAAAATCAAATTTTCGTAAAATAACAATGTTATCAAGAAAATAAAATAAAAACAACTAGGCATTGTTGGTCAATTAAATCCGTCTATACCTACAATATACGACATAACCGACTTTATAAAGGATTGGGTAAATAAAAGATGGATTAAAGATCTAGTATATCTCTCTACTATTTCAAATGTTTTAATCATATCTTTATATTAAATCTTTCAACCATTGTGTCCTTCTACTCTTAATTACAAACGTTATTTTCGTTGTTTGAAAAAGTTATCGAATGGGCTAAATATAAATACAATTAAGAGTAGAATGACACGACAATTGAAAAATTTAATAGAGAAACATAAATAAAATATTTAAAACAGTAGAGGGATATTCTGAATTTTTAACCCAATAAAAGATTGATCAACTAGTATGAACACATTCTACTCACAAACATATAAACGAAGAAAAGAATGTTTAATCAGTTGGTTCAAATTTCATTCATTTTTAGATTAAAAAAATCAAAAGAGAAGGATGTTTAATCAAGTAGTAATTTAATGAAACATTCAAAGAAGAACAATCGCAATTTGTTTCATGATTTCATGGAAGGAAAATAATATTTTAGTGTTTCACCTACTTTAAATCCTATGTAATTTGACAATAGTACCCCTATAAGACCTCCTGTGATTGGAAATCCAACGATTTGTGCAATAGGAGAATGGGACTACTTGCCCTGACCCCTAAAGGTTGCTTCCAAAAACAAGAAAACCGACCATCTCCTTAATAACTGCAAAATCCACGATTTGCACAGAAAAGTGGCACAAACTCTAGCCTATACCATCATAGTAACCGCCTGTGGCTTGTGATTTGTCAATCAGAAAACGCGTTCTAGATTTCAGTAAAAAGCACAAAATTATCCACCAAGCTGCTAAACAGTACTGCAGCACAAAAATCAAAATTAAAGAACCCAATATTTGCTTTCTCCCTCGCTAGGAACAGCTATAAAAGTGGACCAAATTAATCTGCTTTCTCTCTAGCTTAGAACAGCCAGACATTTCACTTCCCAAATAAGGTCACTGCTATCTTGCAGAGGGTAGCTGAACTAACTTCATAGTTTGACAAATTGAAAAAAACGAATTAAACCAACCCATGAAGGTAATCTGAGTGAAGAAAACTAGAAAAAGTCAATGCAACATTAACAGTGTAAAACAGCTAAATCGCATTGACAAAGGGAAGCTTCAAAAAAACAAATTTGACGGAACGAAATCAACACCATCATAAGCAATCGCAAGACAATAGGGGGAAAAAAAGCAACATGATGAGGCTATCTATTTCACACACCCTGAACAATCCTCAACACGTCAGTACACAACATTAAAATTGTCGTGCAAATCAATAGTACAAGTGTTATGCTTAAAAGCTTCAACTAAGCAAGAAAACAAAAAAACAAAAGAAAGCAATTTTGTCTTTCTGTTTTTCAAGTAGATAAGAAAGATGACAACCCTTTTGTGATCAAGAAATGAACGAAATTAAATTAAATGATGACTAAAAAGAAACGTAATTTACCTGTTGTTGAAGAGCGAATATGTGAGCAACACAGCCATAGATTGGATCTCTTAACCGAGCTTGAGCCTCATAACAAATTGTGACCACAGCATCGAGTCTTTTATGGATAGGAATGTGTAATAAAAGCTTTGACACATTACTTGCACCAAAAACCTTATGCACCGCTGCAAAATGTGCTGCACCTTGCTCTGAGTCAAAATAAGGTGCAAATATACACCCTGGCACACACTTCCTCCTCAAGAATTTACAAGCACCACATGGCCCACCACCACCACCACCACCACTACCACTGCCACCACCACCTCCACCGCCACTGCTCCCACCACCAACTCCACTATTTATAGGAGTTGTTGTTGCAGTATTCATTTCTTTTCTTTTCTTCTCTTTAAAAACAAAAGAAAGCAATAGAGTAGTTTGTCACATAATTAGGGTTGAAGGAGGAGATAAAAGGGCGAAGAAGGGCTTGTATATGTGTATGTGTATGTGGTGGTGGTGGTCTAGGGTTTGGTTTGGTTTGGTGGGTACTGGTGTTGGGTTATGGGGTATTTGGGGTGAGATTTTGTTGGTCTTTTATTTATTTTAATGGTGGGATTTAAAACGCTAGTGAAGTCTTTAAAGCCACGCGATAGAGCAAACCTTTCCCTTCCAATTTAGCTGTTTGCGTGAAGCAAACATGCGATAAGCTTAGCTCCATATGTATATTCATTTCTCAACTGCTTTTTTCTTTTTTCTTTTTTTCTTTTCAATTTTTCCTCTTCTTGTCTATCTAGCAAGACTGATCATCATCTCTATCTGCTCTTTCTCCTCTTCCCTCTAAAAGGTTTCTTTCTTTTCCTTCTCAGTTTATAAAAATGTGATGTATATCTTTGTATAGTGCTTAACTTAATTTGGTTTTTAGCTATTATTGAATGAATCTGGCTAGCTTGAAAATACATATAAAGAAAAGAAAAGGAGTAGTACATTTTACTAGTCGAAACGTGTCAATGGCTCTGTGTCTATATTTGCCGCTGCGTGGTTTAAGCTGCGTAGAGGGCAAAAGACGCCAACCGTCTCTCTCTCTCTCTCTCTCTCTGTTGAAAATGACTCACTTTCCCTTTCCTTTATACTATATAATAAGCCAAAATAAATCCACCGCGTTTTGAGTAAGACATGAATGCCCACAGGTTTAATTAATTCCATTTTTAAAATATTGGACTCACATTAGTTATTTTTAGTAATCTTTAATAAAGAATAAAGAATCTGATAGCTACTAATATATGTATAATGGCTGCGTGGCTTTGGGTTAGGGAGAGGGGAGTTGATTACAACTTTACAAGTGATGCGAAAAAAGTTAGGAATTGAAACTGGATTTGTCTCGTATTCTAGATATCGTGCCCTGTCAATTTACGAACTCCCCGATATGTTAGTTTTCAGCTAGAAATGGAAAGGTTGATTTGCTTAAGTTACACAGAACTTAACTTAGCAAACACACGAGTCACGAGTAATCAATCGTTTCGGAGTTCTTGTACTGGTTGGCGTGATGTGCTTTACAACATATACTGCAAAACTTAAAAAAATAGCTGGTTGAATTGGTGACGGGGAATTTATGATATTGATTGTGATTTGACAAATGATCAATTGCTCTGGTCATGATTTTGTGTTTGCGATATGACTAATGACCCTTTCCCGCATTGGATATATATATATTTTTAAAAAAACAACACAAAACAAACCAGGTCTTAATTAAATTACAAATTTAAGTTGTTATAAATTTCAATCACAAGAGTGGTTTTGAGGTAAGAATTTGTTAAACTATAATTCAAATCTCACAAATATCCAATAATCTCCCCTTTTTGTTTTTGTGGGCTACCAATTGGATCTAAGCCTTCCCGTTTCAACTGACAATTGTGTACCATCCGTGTTTTATCTATCAAAAGAAATGGGCTAGAAACGATACATTTTCATTAATAGACAAATATTGATTATAATTAATATAACGATTTTTAATTTCTTTGACCATCTTCAAAAATGAATTCATAGCCAAACTTTTTTTTATACCCATGAATTAATTTTGTAAATGATACTAAATGATTGCTACAATGACTTAAGTCATTGGCTACGTTCTTCATTTCTTCATAAAAATGGGTTAAGTAATTTTATTTACGTAATTAAATTATAAAATATATAGAAGTTGTGGTTATTTGAAACCATATATAGGAGTAAAAACCTAAATAAAGCACCTATCTAAGGAAAAAAAAAGGCGAATAAAAAAAAGTACCAATGTATGATCCAATCAATGGATCGAGTACCTTAGACCAAAGGATTGAAGAAAAGTATGTACAGCCAGCCACGATAACACTACCTTCCAAAATGTTAAATTTTATTCCTTTTGGTAGAATGATCATACATGATATGTTGGCCGCAACATATACAAGAAAGTTTGACCCAATATATATTATAGCTATCTTAAACATTCGTGCCGTCTAGCACGGCCAGCTGCCTATATTAACTGTCGAGTCATTGATTGTTATTTATTAAACATGTTTATTGCTGAGATTTGATATATAAACGAGACTTAACAAATTCACCTCCGTAGCTTAATTGATATACTATACCTTATCCCCCATCTTCAACAATATCAGATCGAATAAATTAGATATGTGGTCCTCCAAGCATGAGGCTCTGGTCATTTCGACCTCTTTTCTAAAATTTTAGGCATGTCAACCTTTTTAGTTTTAATTTCCGATTTTAATGAATTTGGGTTCCTCCTCCTGATTTAGGCATGCTAGGGGGGCTGCTATGTGTGCATTTAAATGCCTTGAGCTAGGAATCCAAACAACTAAAGATTTAAAATATAAAGGTTAACATACCTTTTACTTGTCCTAAGGGGATTATGTGCTTTGCAAATGGTGTGTATTTCAAATAGATATTCTTCTTACTATCACAAACAAATCTTTTGAATTGTTGTTATAGAATTTTAAGAAAAAAATTTAAATTTAATCAATTATTGTAATAAACCCATTTTGACCCCTCCCGTTTATTTTCATAAAAATTAAAATAAAAAAATAATTAAAAAATTGAGAAGATGATTTTTGACCTAATTGAAAATGACATTACTAGAAATTCGCTAAATAGCAACAAACATTAGTAATTGGAAAGCGAGGACCAAACGATATTCAAATAGAGATGTAATTGAAAAGGATAAAAAAAATTTAAAAAAAACTTGATTTTTAATTAATCAATGTGAAATTAAAAGAAAAAAAAAAGAAGAGAGATTAAACAATTTCAATTAATGAGCTAATTGGAAAAAAAAAAAAACATACATTGAAATTGAGAAAAATAATCTGAAAATGATCTAAATTGATTTTATCCCAATTCCTAAAAAATCTCTATATAAACACTCTTTCTCTTCGGTTTTAGGAGAGGCTCCACCACCCATCTACTTACATTAAAAAAAAAATAAAATAAAAAAAATAACTAACTAACTAACCTAGTCTCGTCACTCTTCTTTCTACCCAAGGAAAACCTTAGCCTCTATCATTTATCTATCACCAAAAAACAATCTATCTTCCACAACTATTCTTCTATACCAAACAATCTAATTAAAATATTCATCACTCTTATCCACACAAAAAAAATGTAGAAAGTTTACTTGTTTATCATCTCTCTAAAAAAAATTACGGGACACGAATATCAAGAGAACAAGAAAAAAACCAAAAAAAGAAAAAAAGAGGTCGCCAAATAGCCTTTAAAAAGGGTTGCCGACTCGGATGTCATCGACATTTCCTCCCATAAATTGCTTGTCCTTTGGGCAAAATTGCTTCGATCCACCATCATAAATCAATATCTCACCACTAAATCGAGTCATTCCCCGATTGGTTAGGAAAGAAGAGGACGCCGGAGGAGGGAGAAATCGAGGAGAGAAGATCGACAACCCGTTTTAGTTGCATGCATGTTATTATCATTGTTTTTCGATCAAATCAACAACCCCCGCCACCACATAAGTGTCCTTTATCCTCTTATAAGTTGTTCTCCCTTGAAATCATGGTGAAATCTCATTGGAATTGGTTGAATTGAAGAGAAAAAAACCGACCGACTCATTTACTTATTTCATTCAAACCCGACCAAATCTCCTCGATCCGACCAAAACGAGCCTCCTAACCACCATATAAATGCTCCCCATGGTCCTCCGAGCTACTTGATCATCTCCACTTTTCCTTGTCACGGTCGAATCTCCATCAAGAAGAGAGGGAGAAACGACCAAACCTTCAACCACGTCGATCTCCCTCATCCTCCTCTCGTCAATAGCTACCACCACCATAGGGTGACCGGCGAGGACCTCCTCCTCCATATGGGCCGGTCGATGCACCCGAAGGATATCGGATGGTAACCAAAGCAAGTGAAAGTAGCTTTGGGGTTTTGAGGGCTAGTTTCGTAATTTTGACATGCACGACATTTTGATAATTTCACCTTATGAGCATTTTGGTCATTTTCCAATAGCATATAAGGGGCATTTTGGTCATTTTTAGTGATCATTTAGTTTATTTCTTCCGCCTATTTATTATTTAATTAGTTTATGATGTTGTTTTATAATAATATTAATTTTATTTGTATTAGAAAACTTAAAAATATCTAGGGTGTGAAATTTATTTTAATACATAGAGTTTGATTCAATTGTGATGTCGAAACAACGTGTCTTCAATTTATTAGGGATCGACGATGGTTCGATATATTTGTTTAGTATTAAAAATGCTATAGAAAATAATAATGAGTCAAGTCGGGTTGATCTTATTCAACATTTTACGTAAATACTTTTAGGTGATTGGGTCGTTCCTTAACATGCCAATAGTGTTAGGACTTTAATTCGAATTTGATGTTAAATTGATGAGACTCCTAAATTTTGAGATTCGATGTTAATTTAATACGATGCCACATAAAAAGAAAACAAAAAAAAAATTGACAATATTTTTTTTCGCATAGCTCAAACTAAAATATGAAAAGAACAAAAAATAAAGAAAGTGTTTCAAGCAATTTTAGTGAGTATTCTATCTAAACGGGACTAGTGTTAATTCAAATTAACCATATTGTAGTAATTAGGTTATTCTCCGACATATCGATTATGTCGAGACTTAAACCGAATCCGATATTAGATTGACGAGACTTCCGACGACGGGATCCGACTATTGATTTAATATGATACTACAAAAAAAAAAAAATCAATTGGCTCGGGAAATAAAACTTGAAAATTTGACTTGAGAAATAATTTGTTTAAAATAAAAAATTTTAAGAGATAAACTTTAAACTGGATCCGATATTGGATTGACGAGACTTTCGACGACGGGATTCGACTATTGATTTAATATGATACTACAAAAAAAAAAAAAATC